CCGGGACAGGACGTGAAATACGGATATGTCCCGGGAAATACGGACGTTTGGTCACCCTAATTTATCCATTTTATACCTTTTATCAGTGGACATGTCCCTTCAATGTATTTCATGACATATTTTGGCCCTCCATATACCTCAGTGATACAGTATATATAAAAGCATGCTACCTCGAACAATGTGTCTTGCAACCACGCCAGGGGGTACTGACCCACATTTTGGGTCTGCTATCAATTACAGATTTTAGAGCTTTTTGGTTGTCCCACCATCATAGATGGGGTCCTGCTTCAGAACTACAGCACTAACAAAACACAAACCTGGATGGAATTATTCTATTTCAGTGTCAACTTCAAAATTCTTTTATCATTAAAAAAGAGGAAATGTTTTGGTTATCTAACCCAGTGGTAAGTTTGCAGGCCATTTACATCCTACAGAGCCTTTAAAGTTTGCCAGTTCAAATATTAAGAGTATTATGTCTCGTTTTGTGCATTCTTGAATGCACACAGCCTGCTTTACGTCTTTCGTTTGTAGACTTATTATTTCGAATCTCTTAGTAAGAATATAGATACCCTTAATTATCCCTCAGTGGGGAAATTCATGAAAAAAATATAAAAAGGCAGAATATCTAATGAGGCGAGGCTTAGCTGGCTGAAGTTTCATAAACAAGTTGAAGTGTTGGGGCAGAATACAGCCATGTCATTTGGTACTTCTTTGTTATAGGGCTGAGAGACATAGACGTGGAACATTTATAAAAGTGTAATTACATTACATCGTACACTAGCTTTTTATCTTTTAACAAAAAATTATTGATACTTTAAAAAACTTGATATACTGACCAGCCCTACTTTTGTGGTACTTGTACAAGAACAGGTTTTTTAAGGCTGATACCGATATTGATTAGTTTGGCATTTTTTCCCTCCATTTACATGATTAAAAAAGTACACAGTGTTAACATATGCGACACAGGTTTCAATTGAAACAGAAATATTTATTAACAGATCAAACAAAACATAAAAGTTTAAAGCAAATAGAGTGGAGTGGTAGCACATGAAATCACACATAATCTGAAAGCATGGCTGCTCCTTGCACTGATGAAATGGCAAACACATGCATGTATAGGCTAATGCGATCCAAGGAAGAAAAGGCAAATTTCAGCCAGCCTATATATTGGTCTATTTCTTTTTTTCTCCAATATATTTGATTGAATTTTCTCTTTTTTAATACAACAAAAATTACAAACTTAACCTTGTCACATGTATTTATACCAATTAAATCTGCATTTGTTTAGTTCCAAAAATATACCATGCTCTTTAGATGAAGGCAGGGACCTAAAAAAAGAGCAATATATGAATAAAAACTGTAGTCAAGACATCCATTTGAAAACGGCCATCAGTGAGCTTCATTTACAGTCACTACAATCCTCATATATGGCTCCCATAGGTTCTCAAAGTCCCTTTGTTTGCCCTTTGCAATGTATGTTAGTTTGTCCAGTCCGAGTGAGCTTGCAACCTCTTTTCTCCAGAGTATCATTGAGGGTGCTTCCATGCTCCTCCAGCATAGTGCAACAGATCTTCTGCCTTAAAGGAGTCCGTAGTCTATCAATGTAGTTATCCTCTGTGATTGTTTAAATTCTATTGGGTATATTTCTAGAACACAGATTTCAACCTGTAATGGGACTTTTACTTTAAGCAATTCAGATAGAAACCTAATAACATCCTTCCAAAACTTCTGGACTTTAGGACATTCCCACAAACAATGGAGAAGTGTTCCTTTTCAGATAAACATTTAGTGCAAGCAGTGGCGGATCTAGGGGGTGGCTACTTGGGCTACAGCTAGGGGTGTAAATCACATCCATCATGGCGATTCGATTCAGTATCGATTTCCTGACCCAACGATTCGATTTTTTTCGATACTTAAGAATACCCCACGCTTCGATTCGATTAATCGGTTAATTTTTTTTTTTTTTATTATTATTA